TAGTGAGACATACAATCACCCACAATTTATTGACACTATGCACCTCCCCTTAGGTAACTAGCATACAGACGCAAATAGGTGGCAGTAAATAGTATACGTGCGAATTAAGAAACCAAATGCAGATGGCATGACTTCTGCAGCCAAAACAATGTTTGGAGATAAGTGATTTGCTTTTCTTCCCATGAGAATATCCTAACAGCTTTGTCTATCCCAATTGTGTATTTCCTAAATATAAATCTCCTTTTTGTTATAACACTGTGTAATTGTATTATGTTCTAAATAGTTTTATTAGTCCTTGCTCAGGTCAGGTTCCTGGTCTCAGGAATGCTCACATGCACACAGAGAATGGTTCCCCTCCAACAATCTGAAGGGGAGCTGTAGTTGAGCTTGCTTGGACTTAAGTACAGCTATTAGCATGATCTAAGATCCAGATTTATTTGGTCCCATTCCTCGCTGCTTTGAATTCTCAACACATTCAAGCCAATGCCTGAACAGAGGTTGGGTGGGTGGGGTTATATGACAGAAACATTTCTGCTATACCCTTTATAGAAATATAATTATAATTTTATAATTTTAGACTGTATATGGTAATAAAACACATCTTTCTCTTTTTGAACTTTCAGATATTCAGTTTCCATCTGGAGATAAAACAGTTTTTGATTATTTTGTGGATTTACAAACAGGTGAATTTGAGCCATGGGGACATTTAGTTCCTAGCACACAATTTCTTATTCAGAAGGGTGAGTATAGTTGTAGTTGTTCATGTTACTAAATTATTTTAACAGTCCTGGAAAACATTTCAAAAATACACATATTTCTCAGAGATGAAGTGAAGCACTCAGTGTTTGGGAAGAGAACAATGTTGATAAGTCCAGAGATAAATTCAGTGCTAGAAGCTGAAGCCTAACTGTATAAATTGAAGCATAATATGATTGAGAATAGACTCCTAGAAATATAGGTGAGCTTTAAGAGTGTTAAAAATAAGAAATGACATTCTTGTTTATGTAAGCACCAAGTATGTGTGTGTGTGTGTGTGTGTGTGTAATAAAACACACTTTTGCCAGTAGGAGCTGAAAGTGTCATTGTCACCATCTCTAAAAAGAACCTGTGATATATGTCTTTCCCATTCATAGACAGCCATTATCATGTCAACAAACATACATTCCTCACAATAGCTCAACGCTACCTAATCAATATACTATTAAAACTCTTGTGTCTATAACTTTCAGCTGGGCGAAGTGGTGTAGAGCACTCATAGAGCAAGAATTTTTGAAACAAGGTACATCAAATGGGCTAACTTACAGAATGTGTCCATATTTCAGGATCCATTATTCCTGTGGGATTGAAATTTGGGAAATTTGTGGCTGCTTCAGCACTGCACTGCAGCAATCAGCCCAGGTCACATGATTGTCATAGGCATATTCCTGACCTCTTTCCTGCCTCTCTCTGTCCCCTGTACCCAATTGTCTGGTGGCAAGGAAACGAGGCAGAAATTTGAAATCTCTTAATGGCAGTTGGCTGTGAGGGAAGGGAGCAACATAGGGCTGGCTGGGGGGTGCCAGTGGTTGATTGGTGAGCCCTTTTCCTCCCTCAAGGGTGGTCCCCTTTAGGGACACGCCGGAATGGGGAGTGGGGGTGCAGTTTTCCTTACAGGCCATGGCTCCCTTTGTTCCACCTCCCCCCAGCAAAGTGGTAGGCAGTTCTGCTGGTCAGCTGAGGGGGGGGTGGAGGAGGCAATGGCAGCTTCACTGGGACTCTCCTGAGGGTCATGGGGGGAGGGCAAGTGGTGCAAGCCTATAATATGTGGCAAGGAAGGGGGGGAGAGAAGGGGGAGGAAGGAAGGGAGGGAGGGAGGGGGAGGGAGGGAGAGAGGAAGGGAGAGAGGGAGGAAGATTTCTGACAGTTTCCCACTAGCAAAATCAGTGAGGAAGCCAGCAGCAAGTTGTAAGTCGCTCACACTCTTGCTGCTTTTTTGCCCTTGGTCATTCTGTTTCTCTGTTTAGATAAGGAAATATCTCTGAAATGATGACCCAACGGGTCACGGGTTGTCTAGTTCTAACTAGTACCTTTCTACCAAGATTTGTTTACCTTAAAATTTCTCCATCCATTTCTATTTACATGTACTTGCAATCATCTGTACCATATTGCATGGACTTCCTAGGGGTTCATAGGATTTGATGAAAGACATAGTGCAACAACAATTCCTTTTTATTTTCTCTCATTAGGAAAACACATCGAAGTATGCAAGCTAAAGCTTGATATTTTAAAATAATTATTTTAATCTTTTAAACTTCAGAGACATCAGATATTTCAGATTCTGATAATAACTTGTCAGAAAACCAAGAAAAGAAAACAGAGCCCTCTGCATTTATTCCCAATATTGATACAATTCGTCACAGCTTCCTAGCAAGTCTTCTTTTATTGACAAAGCACCCAGTACTGATTATAGGTAAGATCATATTTAAATATTAGAAAACAAAATAGGCCCTATCTTCTGAAAAATAATTGTAATTAATGTTGGATTACTCTTTGTATAATCTTTTCATTCTATTATTTGAAAGCCAAGTCATAAACATAACTACAGAACTGTTGAACTGGTAATTTAAAATGCCCATACTGATTTACTGAAAAATTTAGAACAAATCTAAGAACTGTAAAACATGGTACTTTAAATTATTTGAGAGTAGCTAGAATGTAGTTGCTACTCTCAGTGCATAGGAAGTTGCCAAAAAAACAAACAAACTCACAACCCTCCTTAGCTTGTTTTCTGTGACAGATCTGACCTGTACAATCCAAGAGTTGTAAGAATGAAACACAGTTATAAGGGATGTAATCCACTCAATT